ACGCCCAACTTCGAGATCAACAGTCTGGATTCCGCAAGGACCGGTCGTGCCAGACAAAATTGCAACACTACGGATCATCGATGAACAACCAGTTGAATGAAACTCGTCACTATACATCAACTTCATTGACTATGAGAAGGCGTTTGACAGTGCGGACAGGAGAGCATTATGGAGCCTTCTTCGACACTATAGTGTACGTGAGAAGATCGTGAACATCATCTAGAATTCATAAGACGGAATACAGTGCAAAGTGGTGCATGAGGGACAGCTGACAGACGCATCGCAAGTGAGGACGTGTGTCAGACAAGCTTGCTTACTCTCTCCCTCTTTCTTCTGGTGGTCGACTGGATTATAAAGATCTCGACATCTGGTGGGAAGCACGTAATACAACGAACAGGTTATTATTTATTTCAATAGTTGAGATTATGAGTCAATTGAAGCTAGACAATCATGGAAAACCTGGAAGCACTGGACGGCCGTTTCGTCCTATTGTGGGACTCCTCAGCAGTGCGCATCCACGACCCTGCCTTGTGGGATTCGAACCTGGGACCTACAATCTTCACAAAAACGCCTGCCTGGTGCCGCTCACCAGCATTCGCCATCCAACCCTGTCCTGGGCAATCCTTTCCAGCTCCTTCCAGTTGTTATTCATCCTTTTCATATCTGCTTCAATTATCCGACGTAATGTGTTCTTTGGCCTTAATCTTATCCGCTTCCCCTCAGGATTCCAAGTTAGGGCTTGTCTCGTGGTGCAGTTTGACGATTTGCGTAATGTATGTCCTATCCATTTCCATCGTCTTTTCCTAATTTCTTCTTCAGCTGGAAGTTGGTTTGTTCTCTCCCACAGAAGGCTATTGCTGATGGTATCCGGCCAATGGATGTTGAGTATCTTGCGAAGGCAGCTATTTATAAATACTTGTACTTTCTTGATTGTGGTTGTTGTAGTTCTCCAAGTTTCAGCTCCATACAGTAGAACTGCCTTGACGTTCGTATTGAAGATTCTCACTTTGATATTGGTTGAAAGTTGTTTTGAGTTCCATATGTTCTTCAATTGTAGGAATGCGACCCTTGCTTTACCGATCCTCCCCTTGTGTATGCTGAGGCCTACTGATACAGAGGCTGCTGCTACACTCAATTGATTGTTCAACGATGATCCGTAGTGTCGCGATTTGGTCTGTGCACGACCGATCCTTACGGAATCCAGACTGTTGATCTCGGAGTTAGGAGTCTACTGCATCTTTCATCCGGTTCAGCAACACTCTGTTAAAGACTTTACCTGGTATTGACAGTAGTGTAATGCCTCTGTAGTTTTCACATTTGCTCAGATCTTTTTTCTTTGGAATCTTGATGAAGTGTCCTTCTTTCCAGTCCATCGGCACTTGTTCCTCCTCCCAAATCTTTTTGAATAGAAGGTAAAGCATGTTTGTAGTTACTTCGATGTCTGACTTCAGTGCTTCAGCTGGTATGTTGTCTGGTCCTGCTGCTTTCCCGCCCTTGATTTGTCTGATGTCCATTCTGGCTTCTCCCCTCGTTGGTGGATTGACATCTATAGGAAGATCTATGTGTGCTGCTTCGATGTCCGGTAGATTCATTGGAGCCGGCCTATTCAGGAGTTTTTCGAGGTGTTCTAATTATCTGTTCCTCTGTTGTTGTATTTCAGTGATTGGCCTGCCTTCTGTGTTCTTGACTGGTCTCTCTGATTTACTGTATTTCCCTGCTAGTTACCAGAAAAAATAATCCAAACAAAAAGCTCTGGTATTATTAATTCATCTGAACACATAAATATCGGTACAAAGGGGCACCGAATCCATATGCGCTACACAAGTTACTTGATTTGTGGAATAAAATGGACAGGTTGGATGCAACTAGGTGATTTGACTTAGAAGATGACCTCGCTCTTCTATCCTATACACACGAACAAATACAGACGAAGACAACTAGTGTAGCAGCAGTCTCTGCATCAATGGGCCTCAAAATACACAAAGGAAAAAGCAAGCTCCTCAAATACAATTCGGAAAACACTAATCCAATCACACTTGTTGTAAAAGTCCTGTAAGATGTGGAATCTTTCACGAACTTGGGAAGCATCATCGATGAAAGTGGAGGATCTAATGTAGACGTAAAGGTGGGGATTGGCAAAGCAAGGACCGCATTCCTACAATTCAAGAACATATGTAACTCAAAACGACTGTCAGACAATGCAAGTCAGAATCTTCAATGCGAACGTCAAGACAGTTCCATTGTACGGAACTGAAGCATGGCGAACTGCTACAATCATCAAAAGAGTACAAGTATTTATAAACAGTTGTGTAAGCGAGATACTCAATATCCGTTGGCCGGAAATCATCAGCAACTCCCTACTGTGAGAGAGGACAAACCAACCTCCAGCTGAAGAGGAAATTAGGGAAAGACGTTGGAAGTGGATAGGACATACATTACGGAAATCATCAAGCTGCATCACGAAGCAAGCGCTAACTTGGAACCTTGAAGGGAAAAGGGGAAGAGGAAGGTCGAAGAACACACTACACCGGTACTCAGAAGCAGACATGGAAAGGATCAATAGCAACTGGAAAGGATTGCTCAAGGCAGGGTTGAATGGAGAGTGCCGGTGAGGAGCCTATGCTCCTCCACGAGGAGTAACAGACGATGGTGATGAAGTTAATGATGGTGACAGGTCATTTATTTTTCATAGAATCAAAAAGTGGTAGCGCTCAGAACCTAAAACTCGTTTTGAGCACGATGTTAAGTTGATCAAAGATCTACTAAATGAGCTAATGCCACAGGATATCTCCAGAGTCACCTTGCTAAATTTGTTTAGACTAGATAGCCAAACGAACTTGAAACAGGATCAGACCAGGCTGCTTAATGTAATATTTAAATCTACCAATGAACGGAACTTAATACTACGGAATGGACACAAACTTAATGGGCAAGAAGTGTTTGTCCGTAAGGATTTGCCGTTCGTAGACGGTGTGAAAAGGCGAGAGGCCGAAAAACAACTAAAAATTTGGTTGGATGCTAACGAAAAAGACTAATAATTTTAGGTTGTAATGCCTCAACAGGGAATGATGCCGAAGCCGCTTCGGGTGCATCATGGAGTCATTTAATTAAGCTTTGATCCTGATATACAAATGCCCAAAGCTTGTTGAACAAGCGAGCGGAACTAGGCTTATCAAGCCGAATGTAATGATAGTCACAGAAACTTGATTGACGCAGCCCACTGACAGTATGGAACTCGATTTTGAAGGTCTCACGTTAGTAAGAGCCGACAGAATCCGGAAGCATAAAGGAGGGGTAACTCTATTTATCAGGATTGCTATCCCACTTGCCATTAGCGACAGTGATCCCATGAGAGTGAATTAGCTAGTTGCCGCTTAAAATGCAAGGGACAAAAAATGCTGAGCTGTGAGGTAAATGAGGTCTTGTTAAATGGTCTCAATACTTGGTTATATAGTGATCAATGTCTAATCATAGAACACTTTGACGCACCCACAATGGACTGGAAAAACCTGAGCATTGAATTGTTAAAAAATACCTTCGAACAGCTGATGCGGTTATCACATGTGCCCAAGTGCAACATGTGAAAGAAGCGAATATATAAGACCCGAACTTTGAATCCTCCTTACCACATATTATATTGACCCATTATGAGGATGACGTCACAAAACTCGATTACACGCCACCCTCAGGTAGATGTAATCATAAAGTTCTAATCTTTGATTTCAATACAGCTGTCAACGACGGACAGGCGTCGGCCAAACCCAGACTTGACGTCCAAAAAGAAAATACAGAACATTTTATGTACTTAGCATCGTCAGTAGATTAAACGATAGAGCCGGAGACCCAGTTGTATTTCGAAATTTGCATTTAAAAGTCACTGCACCCCACATCACTTGGACAACACCATGTGGTCCAAGAAACTCCCCACCATGGTTCAGTAGGGAAGTTCTCACCCTTCCGTGTAGGAGAAGAATGCACGGAAGATTGAAGTTACTGGGTGCTGATGAGGCAAAATATAAATATCGTGAAGCTAGGAATATTTGTGCCTCGATCCTCCGTGAGTCTTGAAGGTTATACGGAAAGAACTGTTAAAGAATCTATAGAATACTTAGACGCTTGTATTCGTATATATACCAAATGACTAAGAGAAGAAGAAATATCCCAGCACTGTGGGGCGACAGCAATGCTTCATCTTTAGTGGAGGACGACTATGGTAAAGCTCAAGTATTATCAAACTACTCTAGCAATGTGTAAACCGTAGGGATACACCGCTAGTTCATACAAATCCTCACACAAATATAATGGACAATGTGGCCATTAAATAACTCGATGTCTTTTTCTGCTAAATAAACGTAGCATAGGCTAACCCACGGGACCCGATGAAATGCACCCCAGGTTACTCAAGGAACCAACAAATTTCGGTACGAAACCCTTGAGCATATGTTTTAATCTATCCGTAACGCAGGATCGATTACCAAAAGACTGGAAGAACGCCATGGTAAGTCTTGTCTTCAAAATAGGTACGAAACATACCAGTTGGCCTGACTAGCGTGGTTTTTAAATTACTAGAAAGGATTATTTAGGAGGAGCTGTTTATGTATCTCGATGAAAACTGGATTCTTTCTGAAAAGTAGCACGGCTTCAGAATACATTATTCCTATCTCATTGACTTATTAGTAGCTCGTGAAAATTGGTGCCCTCTGAAAGACAATGAATAACCAACAGAAGTTGGATTAACTGAGCCTACACCACTTCCAGGACAAACCCAGGCCATCTAGCCTGCTGTCCTTTCCAAACTGAAACTGATTATCCATACAGTGTGCATTTTAGTCCCGGTATATCAAGTTTGAAACCTGAATATCCAACAAAAATAAACCAGACGTTTATCCAATACATCATGAGTATGTCTATTATCTATGCTAAAGACCAAATTGCTTAATGTTATAGCCACTGATAGGGGGAACTGGTTTGTTTGACTGCACCACTGCAGGGTCGTACTTATGGACATCAAGGTTAACATCGATGGAGTACTCAGAGAAGTGTGTGGGATTAATGAAGGAACAACATGTGAAGAAGTGATTTTTAAGCTTGCACAGATTGCTAGTTTGCCTGGATTCTATACTCTGGTTGCCAGCTGCAGAGATAAAGAAATTACACTATCTCCAGAGGAGAAAATTATAAATTTCATTAAAGAGTATGATAATCTATCTAGTTAAAAACTAATTATCATTTAAAGCACAAATAAGTTAACCTTAGTGCTGATTTTGACTTTAGTTTTATATGTGTTTGAGGTAGCGTATTCTGGTTTTATCAGTAGTTCTTTAAAATAAGCCTAGTAATTTGCTCAGTAACGTAACCTCCAAATGAACTTACATAAGATTTTACTGTTTTCTAACAGTAATCATTCTTGTGAACCTGAAAATTTATCAGGAAGTAAACTTGTTTCTCTTCTGCATCCTTTTAGAAAACCGAGTAGTAGGTTTTAGACAAATTACTGTCATCTTATAGAAAAGAATGATAAATTAGAAAGTTCGGTGGGTGTTTCCTGAAAACTTGTGAAGTGGATTATTATAAACAGAACTGAAGGAGTAATTTTATAAAACTGAGAGCAAAAGCTTCCCGGGCGTCACCGTCAGGAGGCTGTTATCTTCAAACTAATCTTTTTTCCAAAAATATATTCCGTGAAACCTCCCTTAATGGAACTGAAATTTTTAAGGAATTCCCTCTAGAAGGAAAAAATTGGATATTCATGTAATCTAGTTTTCTGAGAAATGCATTATGTGGATTGTTGGCAATGCATGGAGATTCAATCACAATTTACTCCTTTTAGTTGCTTGTTCCACCAACTATTAGACTTTACTAACTTGTATTTGATAGAACGGAAAAGCTGAGACATAGATCAGAAGTTGGTCACTTCATATCTCCATACCTTTATTAACTCAACTAACCAACCCTCGAACAACAGTCATAATTCGTATCCCGGTGTATGGAATTATTTCGGTTTTTCGAGATGCATTCGTCTAACGATTACTGAGACAAAGTGGAATATAATATGGTGGGAGGAATGTAAGGCAATCAAATTCATTGGAGTAGAAATTTACAACAGATTGTATTGAGTGAGTGCCATTGAATATGAATAGAAGTTGGTTGCCAAGATCTCTCAAATTTTTGGGAAAATTCAGTAACAAATGTTGTTTACCAGGGAGACTTACAAAAGTATACCGTTATATGTACGCAAAATCGAGGAATATTTGGGCTCACCGGTGAAAGCTGTGGAAAATTTTGCTTTCGTAGGGGATCGCCGTGAAGAAATCTGATTTTTTAGCGGAAATGTAGAAATGTTTTTCTCCAGCAGCTTTCACCGGTGAGCCCAAATATTCCTCGATATTGCGTACATATAACGGTATACTTTTGTAAGTCTCCCTGGTAAACAACATTTGTTACTGAATTTTCCCAAAAACTTGAGAGATCTTGGCAACCAACTTCTATTCATATTCAATGGCACTCACTCAATACAATCTGTTGTAAATTTCTACTCCAATGAATTTGATTGCCTTACATTCCTCCCACCATATTATATTCCACTTTGTCTCAGTAATCGTTAGACGAATGCATCTTGAAAAACCGAAATAATTCCATACACCGGGATAGGAATTATGACTGTTGTTCGAGGGTTGGTTAGTTGAGTTAATAAAGGTATGGAGATATGAAGTGACCAACTTCTGATCTATGTCTCAGCTTTTCCGTTCTATCAAATACAAGTTAGTAAAGTCTAATAGTTGGTGGAACAAGCAACTAAAAGGAGTAAATTGTGATTGAATCTCCATGCATTGCCAACAATCCACATAATGCATTTCTCAGAAAACTAGATTACATGAATATCCAATTTTTTCCTTCTAGAGGGAATTCCTTAAAAATTTCAGTTCCATTAAGGGAGGTTTCACGGAATATATTTCTGAAGATTGATATGCGCAATTGGATCAGTTATGACTCATTACAACTTTGGACTATGTTGAAAAAAATTATTCGGCGATGACTGAGTGACTTGGTGTCTGTTTGTCGACGACTGAGCTTCAAGTACATAAAACCGTTTAATGAATGCATCTAGTTATTATTAGAACTGACAAAATTTTCATTTTGTCAAACTTCACGGCTGAATCACACTTAATAATATTATATCTTAGCTTTATTTTTCAATTTTCTGTGTTGAGAACCTTTTTCGTAACTATCGTGTTGACAATTTTCAGTAGAACAAATATATTTGAAGGAAGAACGTTTCTGGTGCCTTGATTGTAAATCCTTAAATGTTCATAATTTAGTCCCATTCGATACAGTATAATATTCTTTTTCAAGAACCTCATCTGTAAATACTTTTTCTGTCTACACGAGATAATGAGTAGCTTTTTTATCGATAACGTACCCCGACAGATACATTTTTTGTGGTAGATAGCTTACAGATATAGTAAATTAGTTAAATCAAGTCACTGACCAAGTACTTTAGCATGAGCCGAAATTGAAGTGTAAGGGCTATTAAGTTGACCCACTGATGGCTTCTCGTGAACTTATCCCATCAGGCTCTGAACACGATAAAAAGCGAAAACAAATCAGCTCTGGGTAAACCAAAAGCCTAAGGTGGGCAACGAAAGCAAAAGAGATGGAAAAGGCGGCGGCTGTAGGTAACACAAGACAGCTCTACAGATATAAAATAAACTGGGATTAATAAGTCAAGTGTGAGACTATCTTGGAAAGAGATGGCACTCTTATCTGCTCCCAGTCCAGACGTTTAGAACAATAGGCGGAACACCTTAAGAAGCAGTTCGGCTGGACTTCAGCTACTTTACAACTACCCTCCGTTCCCAGACACTGTGAATGGAACATTGAAGTAGATCCCCCAACTCTAGCTCAAGTTCAAAAGGCTATAGTCAATCTGAAACGAAGAAGGGCAGCTGGTCCAGATGAATTGGCTCCAGAGGTCTTTAAGGATGGTGGTTCAATTTTAGCGATTAGGTTGACTAATATTTTAGCTAAGATCTGGGAGTTAGACGTTATTCCATCTGACTGGTCACAATCACTTATCGTCCCAATATATAAGAAAGGGTTAAAATCATCCTGTGACAACCATGGAAGGATTATTTTAACTAATATAGTATCTAAAATACTAGCCTCCATAATTATCGGTCGCCTAACTAAGACTGGTGAACTGCAAACACGAGAAAATCAAGCTGGCTTCAGACCTGGTTGTGGTTGCATCGACCACACATCCACCATTCGTCAGGTTCTAGAACATAGGCATACTTATCGGCGTCCGACAATGGTGGTCTTTCTTGACTTAAAAGCAGCATTTAACTCTGTAAACCGCGAGATTCTGTGGCAGTGTCTGTCATTGAAAGGCGTATCTCAGAAGTACATAAACCTTGTGAAGGCTCTTTACTCGAACACTACCAGTCGAGTCAGAGCTTGTGGCGAACTGTCATCTGCTTTTGCAACCTCAAGTGGTGTCCGTGAAGGCTGTTCACTTTCTCCATTTTTGTTTAACTTCATCATAGATCTACTGATGGAAATAACATTCTCGTCGACTGAATTCTCGGGTATTGACCTCCTTCCAGCAGGTCCACTTATCGACTTAGAATACGCAGATGATATAGTCCCGTTTAGTGAAGACGCTGATAAAATGCAGTGTCTTTTAATAACACTGAGCAACAATGCCAGAATGTTTGCGATGCGCTTCCCCCCCCCAATCTAAATGCAAGTTGTTGCTTCAGGACTGGTCTGCGTCAACACCTGAACTAAGGATAGGGAGTGAAGTAGTCGAAGGCGTCAACAACTTCACTTATCTCGGAAGTCTGGTCAACCCTAATGGGTCGGTGTCTGATAGAATCTCTACCCGGATTCAAAAAGCTCGTTTGGCCTTTGCCAACTTACGTCACTTATAGCAAAGGCGAGATATCCGTCTCAACTAAGGGACCAGTATACATACAAATCATGCGGCGCATATATATTCGGTGCCTCTTTGTACCAATATTTATGTGTTCAAATAAATAACCAGTATACCGCACAGCAGTTCGTTCTGTTTTACTTTGCGGCTGCGAAACGTGACCATTAATGGTAGAGGATACTCGTAAGTTACTAGTATTTGATTACAGATGTCTTAGAAATATTGCTCGCATCTGCTGGGATCACCAGGTAAGTAATAGTGAGGTCAGACGCATGGTATTAGGGGATAATGGTAAATCAGTTGATGAGATTGTGAACCTACATCGACTGAGATGGTTAGGCCACGTGTTGCGTATGTCTGAACACCGATGACCACGACGCGCAATGCTGACTAGTGTTGGAGACGGTTGGAAGAAATTTAAGAGCGTCCAAATCAAAACGTGACATCATTCCATGAAGTCACTAACTTCTGATCTGAGCCATGTTGTTAGATGCAGACTATTTGGTTGGGGTCCGCGCGACTATCGTAACCAATGGTTCGAGACTGTGTGACGGCTTAGAATCAATCACAATGGCGTAGGTGTATACACTCTTTGTTTTCCCTGAAACCGTGAGATTAGAATTATGTTGTACCTTTCTTTCTACGAACTGATTCTTTCTCTCTGTATCATATTTTTATATGCAATCTTTGTTTTATATATTAGTATCATTTGAGTATCTGCTTCTGTGAATTTGGTGTTCATCGTGTTGTGCTAATTAGGTATGGCAACTTGGACCGATGCATATATGTGCCTGGTTCTACGTTGTAGGTGACTGAATTGAGCCTAGAACTTAGTTGTTGGCAATCGAATACCACAACCTTTTAATCACCGCTTCCCAACATCTGTGTATACGCTTATCACTATGTGGCTATATATTTAGTCCTATTTATCGATTCAAAAAGTCATGGAGTTTCCTAGTGTTGCCTCTGTTGTTAGTTTTATGAGTTATATCAAAGTCATGTTCTGCTAAGCCTCATTTTATTCTATTTGCTTATGTATCTGGATTACAAGTTTCTCACGTTAATCAATATTGTCCTGTAGAGTAGAAACGCTAATTAGCTTCTGACAATATTCACCACCACATAAGCGGAATATTTACAAATTTTTCATTGAAGTTTTATAGAAAAGAAATAATCCAACAAATTTTCAGCTTTTTAACCACGAAGCTAACTAAAATCAGTATAACTTACTGGCCAAGTTCAGTTTCATGCACTGAGTTTTGAGTTACAGTTATTTTGTTTAGAGATTATAAGTACCGTCGGATTTTAATGCTAGAGCACGTTTTCAGCTAATGATGAGAGCCTGAGACAAGCGCGATCCCATCTACTCACGTTCGGGTTCGTGCGATAACCGTGACCTGTGGTGCCCCCAAATGTACTGGTTGGTTGAGCAATTTAGTTGACATGGTTTGGAATCTTTCATAACAGTGCAGATTCACCCACTCTATCTTCCCCTCGATCTTCAATTCCAGTATTTCTTCATACATATCTTTTCATTCGGTCTTTATGTTACGAAAGTTTTCCGATTTGATTAGAAGAAATTTTCGACTGTCAAAATCGATGAATAGAATTCTAATCAATAGATTAACCCAATATTTTAGTGACCGAGTGATGACTACTCATGGAACCGTATTATCAGAAATCAAAGACCATTAACCAGACGGATAGTTTTTTTCATTTAATAAGATAACACGCTTATATACAAAATATAAACAAGACCAAATGTCATAAGTGATCGGATAGAATTGACTTGTAGTTCAGTCGTTTTCATATCAACATGGGCCTGACTTTTAGGCTGAATCTTTAAAGTATTGTAATACTTTTCAAAACATAATCTCAATGCTCAATCTTTCTTAATGTCATCGCTACCATACTATTTCGATTTCTTTTGTTATTGCTATCTCGTCATGATGATGTAGTATGGCGAATTGAGCCAGTACACAACCCTACTAGACTCGATGTTGATGATGATTGGCAGTCCACAGTCCATTTGACTCATCAAAGTCAATATTTTAAACCTGAGCCATTTTCTTCTATAAAATTGACACTGGTGTATTCTGTGCCGCTTGCACTGTGAGTTTGTTTTAAAAATTTTCAGAACTAAAGAAAATCCATCTAACATATGTTTTATTCTTCGTCGATTGGAGGCTGTATCTCCTTTCTCTCCGAAAATCCCCAAAGCATATCCTCCCATTCCCAATCATCAACCGACAAGTCGGCCTCATCAACAGTCCTCTCGTAGTTCATCACGACGTTCTAATGTTCCAGTGACATCTGAAAATAAAGAATTATATTCCTCTACTTCATCATCCTTACCGATTCCAGCTCAGCAATATGCTAGCTCTGCAAAGCAATCAAGAATTTATCGTTGTGATCCTAGTCATGAACTAATTCATTCTACCTTAGTAACCAGTGCTGCTGGTGAAGAAAAATCATATCACGGTACGCTATTCATGTTGAGATGAAACTTCACAGAACTTATATTTGTTTTACATTAATTTTTCGACAATCATATTTTATTTGAGATCATAAATCGATTGATTTTAGACCACCATGGAAAACCTGGAAGGATTGGACGACCGTCTCGTTATAGTATGAGACTCCTTAGCAGTGCGCATTAGCAATCCCACACGCAGGACTCAAACCCAGGACCTTCGGTCTCGTACACGAATGCTCAACCTCGAGACAATTGAGCCGGTATCCAACGGTGTTAATGTCTAACTTCAACCAATCCACGAAATGACACGACCATCTTTCATTGTATTGAGGTAGATACTTGTCTCTACCTGACATGAATTAGCTCCACTGGTCACGGCTTCTCACTAGAACTGCGAGGATTCCCTCACGAAGCTAGTCACTAGTGAGCACATGGTAATTACCAGTATGAGGAGTCCCATACTAGGACGAAACGGCCGTCCAGAGCTTTCAGGTTTTAAATGATGATCTAACATCAATTGATTCATGATCTCAATCAAAAACTTGATAATCTCCAGAACGCCATAGCGATAATCATATTTTAGTCTGCTTCAAATTCTTCGCATTTTACTACCTACAAATCCAATCAATTCACGGTAAATCTGTCCATTAAAGTGAATCTTTTTAATATCAATTTTCAAATACAAATTCAGCCTAAGAAAAACTTAAAAACGGTCGGACACTGAAATGAATACTGTTGAGTAATATGAATGTTGAATTAGTAGTTAAGGTAACTATGTCCCAGGTTCAAGCCCCGCCTTAACTACTTCGGTTTAGAGCAACCAGTTAGTATCATTGACCCTCACACTTAGATTGTGGTTCATGTTCAGATACCTGGCAAATAAATCTATCTATTAGTATGAGTGGATAAATATCTGCTTGTTTTCCAATATATATCTATAATTTATGTATTACCACTCATACTAATCTAAGTTGTAGTCGATCGAAATGGTCAGTAACTACTCTTTGCATTTCTATTCGCGTACAATGTTAAAGTTCGATATTTTTCTGTTTTCTCAGGACTGGATTATTATTTTTTTATATTATGGTATGGTTTACAAGATCCACAAAATATCCTTACATTATGTCCTCCCTTTCTACAAGTTTTATAAACTGAAGATATTGTTTTAAACGTTACACTACTCATGAGTAGCTTAAAATTATTAGTAAAATTGATTCGCAGTGCTATAGATATTCCAATGTAGGATGTAGTAACTTTCTAGCATGCAACAAAAGTCGTAAGCCATTGGCATGGCATATGAAAGTAAGAAAAGAGGTTTTTCAATTCTGATCAAGCTCGCATTAATTTATTTTAATGGCATTTTGGAGAATATTCGGTATGTATGTTGCGAAGATCGACAGATGTACATAAAAATGAATAACTGTTGGTTGACATTATTTTATTTATTTATTTTAACACAAGGAGGCACCGAATACATATGCGCCACACAAGTCTCATTCGATATGTTTGAGGGCTGTGATACTGCCCGGGTGCCCAAACCGAAGCACGTGGTTTTCTTAGGGGGCCACTCCTCAAGCCTTCGACCTGAAGGTCTGATCCACAAGGCAGTGGAGCATTGTAAGGAGGTGCAGTCCCATGGAATCCGGTGACCAACAATTGGTTCATACGTCATTTGTTCCCGCAGGATACTGGAGCCAATGTGTACCATTGGTTTGGAATCAGGGTTTTCCAACTCCCCGATCGAAGCTGCTACCTTGACGCGGTGGTCGGGCTTGCCTATCGTGATGACCCAACCGAGCTATATTGGCTGGAACATATGTTCCTGCAGGTTCTACCATGCCAGGCAGGTCGATTGGTGAACGGTAAGACTAAAAGCAGCAACTCAAGGTCTGAGGGCGAAGTCGTACTGCTGACTGTAGAGGGGTGTGACAGCAGTAAGGTGTTTCCCTCGGACATCCAGCATGACAGCGATGCTGCCTTCCCACAAGGAGGGGTGGGGTTAGAAAAGGTCGACCCTAAAAATGTCACACCTCACCTTACCTCACGGATTTCCGTCTCCGGCGGTAAGGCCCTTTGAAGAACGGAGCTAACACGTCAAAAATCTTCCACAAAAAGGCCGTGCGCGACCGGCCTCAAGCAGTTGTCCCTTGGGCTCTGCGGTCACGCTCCCAGGTCGTCAAGACCAACACTAATCCAATTTCCTTTTCAGGTTCCTCAAGAAATACCCTTCCACGGTGTGGGCAGCCGGGAAGTGATATCAGCCCTCATACCCGTAACAGCACAAGAACTCCCCTAAGTGAACTCTCCATGTCCACCAACCCAGTCAAAGCGCCGGACATTCGTTTTTCGTCCTCTCATTTTCGTAAACAACACCCGTGGTGCGAGAAGGCAGTAAGTAGGACTTCCCTGGCAGAGGCTATATACGCGTGGCCATGTGAGAGCATTTCGAGAGGGAGAGCTGACTCTCCCCACTCTCGGCTGTACCAGGGCATTTGGGGGCTGTTGGCTGACAATTCATCACAAAGATTATGAACCGTTTCCATAATGAAACGTTTATTTTTTTAGTAAGATGTAATTTAATTTTAATATAGATAGAGCAATGAGAAGCCTTGGTGTTATAATCTCTTTCTTACGGTTATGACCCAGCTATTCCTATTGCCTAGTATTCTTGGACACCGATTCACTCGACAAGTCCCCAAATCAGAACACGGTTGAACAGGAAAGAGATTATATTCCAAATAACAATGTTAGATGGAAGTAAGAGGCACAATAGGGAAAACGTTAGTATATTTATAGTTTTTACATGAGAAGATTCCAGAGCATTCTCACAGTATCGGCAAGTGCTGATTGGATAAGAATTAGCCAATCAGTGTGCACCAAAGCAATCGTGCATTGAGCATGCTTTAATCCAGTCTATGTCCCGATAACACTTGGCCATTCGGAAATTCAAACTCCCCTTTTTATGGGTATAGAAATGACGTGTCCTAATTTTGAATTTGCCTTATTAATATTTAAGCCTTTTAGTGTGCTAGAATGGTGTTGCGATTCCCTATTCATTCTTTATTATGTTAGTTTTCTCTTTCCTTTACTTACGTTATTTTTATTTGACCTTCATCAACTTTTATAAATGCAGATTATTCGAAACGTATGAGAGAATATACATCACGTTTTAGATCACCTCTATCCTCTCATTGCTCTGTCAAAATTTATAGAAGAGACTAATTACTTTGGGTTTTGATATGTGGTTTTGTGAACATATAAACTACTTTTTACGTATGCTTTCACGTTTGTTTTGGAAGATCGACTAAGAGAACGTTGTAGAGTGAGTAAAATAGTTGGATATTAGTCTCAGTGATCAAGGCGTCCGATTTTTAGCAACTAAGTCCTGGTTTTGAACCCTGCCACACATTCCTGCTTAAATAAGCGGGTAGTATAAATAGCCCTCGCACTCAGTGTGGCCCACTCCCAAGTAGCTGGTGAGTGATTTAATACAATTTACATTAATTTATAAATAGTGATGTAAAAGAATTTTTACATTTAACTGACAAGTGCAAAAAATAGGAAGAGATGTGCGTCCTGAATTTCACTCCTAATCGCAATCCCAACTGACTAAACTTTCTTAAATGCTTAAAACAACACTTCAGAGTCAAACCAGTCACCACAACAAGTTCAATGTGTATTAACCGTATATTGATAAAATTCATACCGTTTATCATACACTTCACTCTTGTTTCCGACTTTCAAATTTATGAGAACAAACTAGGTATGGAGTGTGGTTTGTCATTTTTTCCTTGCGTTAAACATTTATAGTTTGTAAAGATCGATACTTCAAGAAAATTTATCAAATGAGTTTTTGTTTGCTCGTTGGAAAATAAAATTCCACTATCCGCCCCTCAATCTATTTACATTCTAGGAATTATAACGTATGGCGATAAATTAAATATGCCTTAAATTATATCATTAGTAAAAAAAAGTTTATGTAGACATCATCTGACTGATTAAAATGAATCAAACATTGAAAGCTGTGTAATGTCTGAGTTTTTAAAAAATGGACAATCGAAAAGTGTAAGTACATCTCTCTCTATTTACACCAACCTCCTACAGATGGAAACCATTATTGACTCTTAAATAATAAATCTGATTCAGCACCGAGTACATAAACCTGTACTTGATGAGGGAATTAATATTTGTATACTTTTTCACTAGTATACAAATCTTCCTGGAGGTTGTTCAATTTTATGATTTACATTACGGACTGAACGTAGACAACTATTGTTGACCAGAAAGCTCTGAACAATTGTTTCATCTTAGTAAGGAACTCCTTAGAAGCTCGTATCCACGAATTCACCATAAATCACAACTAGGATCTTCAGATCCAGCTGTAAGCGTTCAGATTTTAGACCATTGATTAGGCATCTTATGGTTTATACTTCTAGTTTCAATCAACTCACGATATTGCACAACAACCCCTTAGTTACCTGAAACTCAATATGGTTAAACTCTACTAGCTACGGTTTCACACTAGAACCCTAAGAATCCCCTCTCGAAATAGTTTACTAACTAGTACATACATTTCCTAACTAACTAAATATATAGCTATTTACGATTTGTGACTAACGATTGGACGTGATGTTTGCTGACCGATCAAGATTGATGACCATGTTTTTTTTCTTTTAGATGTTGATCAATATAATCAACTTAAAGATCAATTGGCATATCAAGAACAACAAGTTGAACTCAATCGGATACGGTTGCTTCGATTAGACAAGGGTAAACATTTTGATTAAATGTATTGTTTTTTTCAAATGGTATTTTTCAACAATAACTTGAGGAGATCAACCTGGATGATGTATTCAGTGTGCATGTTTAAAACCTTAGAGATAGACAAAGTGGTGTAATTCTAATTAATATAGGGATAAGTTAATTATGATCAAGAAAACAATTTTCATCCTTTCTTTTTTGCATGAAACTCAAAAATGAATCAGTTTTGATTGAGATCATAAGTCGATCAATGTTAGAGTACCATTGAAGAACTAGAAGCACTAAACGGTCGTTTCGTCATAATACGGGGACTCCTCAGCAGTGCATATCCGCGATCCTGCGCGCGAACACTTAGTCTCTAGACTACTAAGCCGGCATCCAGCAGTGCTAATGTCTAACTTCAACCAATCCACGAAATCGCACGACCATCTTCTATTGTCTTCGGTGAGTAACTGCCTCACACCCGATACGGATTAGCTCCGCTGGTCACGGATGAAGTTAGACGTTAACACCGTTAGGTGCCGGATCAATAGTCTAGAGATTAAGCGTTCGCGTGAGTGATTGTGGATTTGCACTGCCGAGGAGTTCCATACTAGGACGAAACGGTCGTCCAGTGCTTCCAGGTTTTCAATGGTGGTCCAACATTGATTGATTAATGATCTTAATCAAAACTCAACAGTCTCCACAATCCTACACTGAATCAGTTTTATTTTGTGACACTCGATATTTTTGAAATACTAATGTAGTGATTGGTTGCCTAGGCTGAATGATTCTATGACGTACACAATTGTTGCGCACTAATACTAGATAATCCACCCAAAACGATTAATCATCCCATATATTAAAGCAATCAAGAATATGTTATTACCAGCCTGAATAACATAAAGCGTTCTATCATTAAAAATTAATATATTTACAAAAATATCTATCACAAAATACGCATAATTATCCCTCCACACTAATTATCCAACCAAGATTATTGAATATACGTATCAACATCACATAAGAAGAAAAGCTGTAGGAGTCACGTGTGTTTGTATAGTGCTCAGAACATCTTAAGTTGTTAAGGTTTGGTGTGAGAGAATTCTTCTATATCACCGTAGAGTAAAAATGACAATGATAATAGGTAAACATGTGCACAGCAGTAGATACCACCCCGGTGGTGGTCTAGAGGATAAGACGCACTGATGATTCGTTACATACTAGGACGAAACGGACGACCAGTACTTTCAGGTTTTCAATAATTGTATAGCTAAGACCACTTCGTGTTTTAAGCGATGAAGATGTTCAACGTGTCAAATCTTTACTGTTTTCCATGTAAATTAGACATATTATGAAAACCAATTTGATTTGTCTACATCAAATTAACCATAAATCATTTTGTTTAATGGTTCACTGAATAATATGCATTTGAGCTGAATAAGCAACAGTTGTAAAATTGCCAATGACTTTCACATTAAACTCCCCCAGAACATATAGTCTTATAAGTCTTCCATCTGCTTAACTGTTTTGTGAATTAATTAAAATTTTTGTAGCCGATGATGAATTCATTTGTCTTGGTTGCTTGAATCTTCCCATTGATGTTTAGGACTGAAACTGATCAATCTCCTTTTGGGATATGTGCATCCTGTGCGGATTGCTTCGGTATTGCCTAGAATCACAAGCATTTTAGGCAGAGAAGGAATCAAGGGCGTGCGTTTCGTCCTAGTTGAGACTCATCAGCTGGGTGTACCTGCGTCCTGGAGTTGATGTTCACCATCAGACTCGAACCCAGTTATCTGACGAACTTCCTATAAAACATTTACATTTATGAGAAGGATTCATAAACAAGCCTTTAAGGTGAATATATTCATACTTGGATAGACAAGATTTATGGTAGCTATATTTCTATAATATTAAGATCGGGAAAATTTATAATATGGTTTGAGAAACTTGTTTTTGAAAAAGCTACTACAATAAGTTTTACTATTACTGTTGCAAACTACTTTTGATGTATACCAACTCTTTGCACACTAATTGTAAAGCAACCTCGAAATCGTAAGACCATTTTAACATCTCTGTTTTTTCATCCGTTCGTTATAGTCCCACTAAGTAGTTCCTACAGGATCTTTGATGAATGTCGAAAAGTACGAAACCTTAGTATCTTAACACCAGTTACTGTTTTGATAATTAAATGACTGAACGGTTATCTTTGAAACTTTAAGCATTAAATACATTGCTTTACGATATCTTCTACAGTCGATTGGCTCAGGAAACGCGTAACTATTCACACTATTCAACAGAAGTATATCTCATAAATACATAACCTGAATCCTAGTTTACGTCTATCTAGTGTTCGTTTTTTTTCCATCCCACAACTTCCTCAACATTTTTGTAGTTTTGCATCATAAATTGAGCCTATTTAGATAGCCACTAAGGACTAGGGAGTATTGGACAATTGTACCATCCTTATGAGGGACCCCACCACAGGTCGAAACCCGAACTTCCAGGTCTTGCGGCAAGCATTGAAATTACCGATCCGGCATCCAATAGTTTACATTCCTAACTTCAATTAATTCATGATACTGCGCAACCTAATTTTAATGTTAGAGTTAAGTAAATTGTCTCACGCCTAACTTGGTTGAACTATGCTAATCACTACTTCTCACCAGAACTCCAGGAATTATGAAGTTCACCATCCCCTACTTCGGTATATTTATCTATCACATGCATATCTTTATACTCATGAACAATGCATTCAGAATAACATGTGCATAGGATATATTTTTTCTAGTGGTGTTTTATACATATATGTGTATATAATACACACCATTTATCCATGTCTATCTTGTAATATATAAGTCAGCCTAATAGTGTAGTCTGTCATGGTTAGTCAGCGAGCTAATTAACTTCACCAGTGCTATACTAATTCTTCGTTAGCCAATCTGTGAAACTCGGTGTATAATCTGTCTCTCCTCTATACATGTAGACACATACAGTTGAACTACAAATCAAGGTGAAACCGCCTACGTAATTTCATTGTTTTTAATTCTTATTTTATAGACTATAAGGGAGTAGTCGTGTATACAACTAACAGCTAGTTAGTCATCACATTAAACTTACTCTTATAAATCTAGTCATTGTTGGGGCAATAACCTTCAAAGCCTAATCTCAAGGTTATCATTATACTCTTTCTATTACAGCTTAATTATAAGTCAGCACAGATAAAATCCATTCTAATTGTTGACAGGTTGTTACTTGTTTGTTTGATTTTTTTTCTAAAAACACAAAGAAATGAATATTGGGTTTCTTTTTGTTTTTTGCTGCTTTTGCCTAAACAAGTTAGCGATGGAGAAAAGTCACTAATGAAAAATACTTGTACACTTGCTAAGGTCAAAAAATAGATGACTATTATTGTCATCAATACAATATCATTAGAACACAATGTGAACATCATATATACTACGAGAGACAGAGATCTCAACTGTTGAGAAGTCATAGTTTGGTGTATTAATGATATAAAGTCTGAAAATTTTAGGATATGACTCTCAAACAAGTGATTTTAAGGATTAGACGAAATTGTGCCGATTTTCATGCAATTACAAACTGTTGAAATAAGTTTTGTTCAAGACGTCCCATGTGTTAACCAAGACTGATCAAATTTCAGCCAAAAATACCAACAACGGGATAATCCAAACCATTTCAAATTGGATTATATTTTCCTGTTGAGTCTAGATAAAAGTATGAGACGGGAAATGCCCATCTAATTCCTAATCACTGATTCATTCTCTGACCAACCTCTGAGGGGTACTTCCCAAAGTCCTCGTGCGAAGCCGTGATTGTTAGAGTCCAACCATGCCGATGGTAAGACAAATATTTCTAACTTTGGCACTTGATTACAGTCACGAATTAATTGAAGTTAGAAGTGCAGGTCATTAGATAGCAACTCAACGATCTAAAAGTTAAGCCCTCGCCGCGAGGCCCGAAATCTCTGGATTTGAAACCCTAGTTGGGTCACGGACCCACACTAGTGAGGAGTCTTATACTGGGACAAGTTAGCTGTCCCTCGACTATTGCTTTTTAACTGTCATTTAACATCAGCCGCTCTACGATGTAAAACTACAAAACTCGAAAACTTCCAGAAACCCCACTGTCATACCACACATAATCGATCATTTTCTTATCGTATGCATTCTATACACTCAGTTATAGTTTCCAAGGTAAATTAACCGTTTACTGCAAATAATTAATTAAATACGGGTCAGTTCACGCGTCACTGAACCACATACTGTATACGTGTGTTCAAAGGCTAGTTTTAGTATTCACTTTGCTAAACCAATATAGGTAGACAGGGTGAACGTGTAACCAATCTTTTTAAAGAGCAAGCAGTTCATTTCCCGAAGTGCTATTCAACCTATTGCTATGACTGAACAATTAATTGGCAAGACTCTCGGTCATAGACCAGGTCGTGGAATTAAATCAGTTGGAATGTCATTGAAAAGCCCGGTTTGTTCAATTCATGTGCTAAGCATAGATTAGTGTGCTTAGCTTAGAGCCACACTCTACTTATAAGGGCTAGTGATGTCACCTGGTTACCCAAACCGAATTAGGTGTAGCGGAGTCTGGACCTGCGACTTATTGACTGAGGGTCGAGGGTCTTAACCGCTGTGATACTAGAAATACTGAGTAGCTAACTTGATCGTAATGTGCGAATATTCGGCAGCAGTGCGCGCTGCTATTCGCTCGGGATTGAACCCCATATCACCTTAAGGTCTTATAATGAGTGAGTGCATCACCCTTAGACCATTGCAGTCTATAAGTTCTCATGTTCATATTGTCCCAAACTCGAACGAAACATATGTGTCTAGTGTTTCTTCGTTGTCACTGATATTATCAACCCATTACTAAGGCCAAAAATTAAAATAATCTGACTATAAGTTATAACTTATCAGTAGTTAATGGGTGAATAATGAGAATAAAGGTCAATAAAAAGAATAAATGTTTACACAATTCAACATTTTCATAATTACTATACACTAACTGATCAATTATTTCTAATAAAATATTTTCTTTTCTCGCCAGAAATCAATCATTTAGAACAGTCAGCCCGATTTGGTGGTAATAACAACAATAGTAATAGTAATAAAGATGGTTATTCTACGTTGGATTTATTAAGTGGATCGGCTGTTGGTCCTGTGGCAGAATTGGCCCAACTAGCAGCTACACCATGGTCACAATTATTAGATACAAATCGTGCCAGACAACGTGAATTATTATCAGAATGTGAACGGCATAAAATTGCTATCGACCAAGTGGATACTCATTTAGCTAAAACAAAGTATGTGATTATTTAATACTATTATTATTATCCCGTAAGTTTTTTACCGCTAATCATCATTGAACTCATTTTATCGGTGCCAAAGATAATCAACATATTCACAAAAACGAGCTAGAAAAATGAGCCTAAAACCAACTACCTAGCTTAGGGGTCGGGATGGTGGTTAGCAATGATGTTATTTGATCCTACTCTTTACAGTACCGATGATCTAATAAATGTCATGTCTTGTTGTAAACTAAGTGAAATTTTCTTCGGACATAAGTTTACATCTTACTTTTAGTTCTTCAATTTGAAAATGGTATTCGCTTTGTGTTAGAGGATAAAACTGATATATTGAAAGGCACAAACAATCTAGGGATGATCTGGTATAATTAGTTATAATCAACAAACAATCAACGGAGCCAATGTCCATTAGCTCAAACTGCCCACTGCATTAACTAAATGAAAACGGCCTGGAATATTAGTAGTGCCGGTGATAACGAAACTAGACATGAAGAATATAGTTCAAAAGAAATGAAATCAAGGAATATAAAGTGTCAGACAAAACATTGAAGATAGAAAAATAAAATGCGCCTGCTCCTTTGAGACCGAGTTTGAGCCACGTCATCTAAGGTTTCCTCCAACCATTGATCACAATTATCGCGTGTACTCCGACTAGGTAGTTTAAACTTACTAACACGATTTAGACGAACATTCACTGACTTCATGGAATGGTATTGTCTTTGTCTCTTCCCCTCCCGCAGCTTTCTTCTAATCTACTTAAACACCAGACAGCATCGAAGTTGACAGATGATGATTCAGCATACGAAACATTTGTCCCAGGCACCTCAGTCCAAATAAGCTACACTTCACACATCAGAACGACAGGAAATTAAAGAATTTAATTGGTGATCAAAACATTATTATTATTATTATTCATTTTTGCATTGGTTGTTTGGATCTTCTCATTGATGTTTAGGACGAGACGCACATCCTGGATTTCTCTGCTAGCCACCATCAACTCCCCTTATCATAATTATAATAAGCGAATGAAAATAAAATATATGAATTAAGATAGTGAATTGAATAACCCTATATAGAACAAAGTGAAAAGAAGTGGTGAGACCAATTTCCAGTGTCTTTTTACTTTCACTCGCAAGTGAAAGTCAGTTGTCGACAGTTTGGTAAACTTATCAAAACAATTGAATCAAGTTCTTAGAGTATGTATTGTCTCCAATTCTGAGGGAATGAACTACCACCTATTTTTTGTTTTCAACAGTATCTCAGAAAAGAACTTTATGTAAACGAATTTTGCTAAGGATATTAGGAAAACTGCTAGGTAGTGGCACAACTGTGCTTATGGAAAAGCTTAATAAAATATAACAAAAATCTCATCAACATCTGAAAATACATTTCAGACACATTAGTGAGACTATCAAGCGCATCCTAATTACACGAATTAGTCGATTTCAGGCCTATATAGTTACGTTGATGCTTAGTATGTAATTAAGTCTATATGTCTCCCAATGTTTATCATTCACTTCATGAGCCTCTTGATTTAAAAAACAAGTCACCATAATGCATGCCAATAGTCTAGCATCAGATACACAGTAACCAATGGCACATACTACTTCATTTTCTTTAAATAATAACACCTTAAGTCGAAAATCGAGTGGTCCCACAAACAAAGGTAATTGAATATCATTGACCCTACTTATAGCTGCGGTCGTACTCGGATAAATAACTATGTTCAAAACAACACATATCAAATCTACTGACATAGTATTACTTAGCGACTTTTTTTAGCAAAGTTTTTTTCTACAGGACGGTGTTGCTTAGCCCATGCCCATTTCCCCCCTTTATCCGGACTTGGGATCGGCTGTAGCTCTAGAGGTGTCCCAGGCAGAGTTCCTAACACAGTATACATTAATCGGATATCTGTCGTGTTTTATAGTATTCAAACTAAGAATTTCACTAGTAACTAAACCTGCTTGTCAAGGCAGAAACTAGAATCAATCCACAAGGTTACAAAAATTACCTTGTTCGCCTTAAAATTTCACTTTAATCTACTACACCTACTACGTAATAGGAACATATAACTTGATTTTTCCTCCATTTTGATTGTTACAACAAAAACAGAATGAATTTATCTCAACTAGAAAATCAAATCAGTCAAGAGTTAAATCAATTGCTCAATGAATTGGAAGGATATAATCAGCATAGAAGGTTACTACTGAAATCAGCCGGAAGTAGTAGCTCACACCCTCGTCCTAGAACAACTATTAATAATCCATCAGAGGTGGCAAGCGATGGTGTTGCTGTATAAAATAAATGAATTATACTACCGTCATATTATGTGCAAATATTTGAACATAAACACAATAAATATTATCTCATGTAAATTATCTAGTTTCATGAAGGTACAATCTTTTTTTATTTTCATGATAATCTTTTTTCTTAATATACAATATCCTATGCATAAATCTAGTCGTAATGCTGTATTTGTTTACCGATCGATTGATGACCGTCTAGAATAAATGCTTGGGACTATGGTAGGTAGCCTCCTATGGACATTTAAATCATACATCTTTTGTTTCCAGTGATTAAGAAGATATGTCTCTAGCGGGCAATAGTCTAACAATCACTGAACGGAGTTGACCATAAAAACCTACAGAGAGGGCTATCTAACGTACTTTACATTCAACGGACGGGAGATTTTACTGCTTTCCCTATATTTCCGTTTGATGACTTAAACAACCCATCCAGACGTTGTAGTGAATAATTCGGGTGCAACTTAGAACCTGGTACCAGTAGTAAAACAAAAGATCAGGCATCGAAGATACGATCAGAGAAAACATAAATTTGTGAAAAAAAAATTATGAGGAATTCAGAAGCTTAGAGTTTGGAGAAAAATAGAGGATACATGGGACCCACGCCATTGCAAATGATGTTGATCCGTATCACTCACAGGTAGTCTACGCATGTTAATGACTCAGTCCAATTGTCAATGATTTCATGGAATAATCCCAAGTTTCGGTCTGGCCACTCTTAGATTTCTTCCAACCTATTCTTACACTAGACAACACCTGTCGAGGTAAGCGGTGGCTAGACATACTTAACACATGTTCCAACTACCTCAGTTGATGGATATCTACTATCTCATCTTTCGATTTGCCATCTTTACATGGTACCCTATTCCTCACTCGGTGGTCAGGAAATACATGAGCGATGCTTCGAAGGCATCTATTATCGAGTACTAGGAATGTGAACATTCTTTATCAGTAGCAAATTTTAAAAAAACAATCTTGTTTTTGCGGAAGATTGCTCCATGTTGGCTGTATATACTGTCACAATTAAATGGGCTAAATAGAATGTTATAATCTCTGGTTTCTTACGGTTAATGACCCAGCTATTCCTATTGCTTAGTATTCTCGGACACCGATTCACTCGACAAGTCCCCAAATCAGAACACGGTTGAACAGGAAAAAGATTATATTCCAAATAGCAAGTCAGAAGCCAGTAGGAAGCACAATAGGGGAAAACGTCGGTATATTTATAGTTTTTACATAAGAAGAATCCAGAATATTCTCCAATTATCGACTAGCGCTGATTGGATAAGAATTAGCCAATCAGCGTGCACCAAAGCAATCATGCATTGAGCATGCTTTAGTCTAGTCTATGTCCCGCTAACACCTCCCCTCTGAGCAGATTCGTAGGATCTGGTGCTAGGGTCCAACTGCAACTGAGTGACTGGCTTGTGCTTTCGATTAGTCCATCGTCTAGACAATGAAGAATTCTCACTTTTTCCTTGCACAGAGACTGACATGTCTGTTCCCGGCGTTTTGATTTTTCTTAAAAAAAAGTATGCATAACTTCTAATTCTCCAACATTCTCCTCCTCCTCGAAATAATGTTGGGTCCTTATGGCTCCAAATTATAACTAGTAGGACTTTATTTAAACCATGTTTCTCGTATTGACTGGAGAATCCACTAAAAATGACTAGATGATGATGAACAACCTTTGATCTGAGTTCATTATTTTCAAATTCATTATGAATCTCGTTAGCTGATAACGAGTCATTAAGAAAGTCAACGTCTAACAGAATTAGATTAGATTTTTGGCCATCATTCGACTCAGCTGACATATTTCCCTCATTGTTATAAGACGGTTCATCAAAATCATATGCATTATTCTGAGAATCAATATCTGGTACACTGTCATTAGAAATGGGATAAGTTGACTCAATATAAAATTCTGTCTTCCGGTGATTTTGAGTAACATCTGGTACAATTTGGTTCATCGTGTTGCTCCAGTTATTTTCTGAATACGAGTCACCATAGCTTTCTCGACTAATAGCACGTGGACCACAATTTTGTTCGAGCTGACGTTTATTTTCGCAGCTAGACAGTACCAGTAGTGTTTCATTTGATTCTGGACTCCGGGCTTCATCTACAGGACCTGGCTCCTGATCATCTGGTATTGTCACAACTTCATGTGCATTCAGCACAGTATTTTCTTGCTGTGAGCCGGACACGTTACAAATATTACGTTCTGATTCAGGTATAAAGGGATTTGAACCCTCCACTAGATATGCTTCTGAAATGTCTGTTACTGCATCATAAACAGATTTCTTATTTTCTGGTCGAGTGAAAAGTGTGTTCAATAGTTGTTGTTGCAAGGCTAACAACTTCTGCTGGTGCTGTAATATTAACCGCAACTGTTCTAAAGAAATCGCCATTTTTCTTTAGTTTTTCCCCGTCGCCACTGTTATAACTCTGTTTTCTTACGGTTAATGACCCAGCTATTCCTATTGCTTAGTATTCTCGGACACCGATTCACTCGACAAGTCCCCAAATCAGAACACGGTTGAACAGGAAAAAGATTATATTCCAAATAGCAAGTCAGAAGCCAGTAGGAAGCACAATAGGGGAAAACGTCGGTATATTTATAGTTTTTACATAAGAAGAATCCAGAATATTCTCCAATTATCGACTAGCGCTGATTGGATAAGAATTAGCCAATCAGCGTGCACCAAAGCAATCATGCATTGAGCATGCTTTAGTCTAGTCTATGTCCCGCTAACATAGAACTGTTAACCGTTTTAACGACACCTTTGCTTAACCACAATAGGTGCTCACGAGCCCGAATATACAAATTGCTAGAACATCTGCCAATATAACTTGCTCCACAGGAGCAGTTGAATTGATAGATACAGAAAGTAAGTGGTTAGTCTAGGCAATTTATCTCTCTACCTCGGAGTGACCATTGGACGTGTGGAAAACATTAATTGTAGTTTTACTTGCGTTAAAAGTTCTGTGGGTTGATCTGCGTACCTTCAGTCTTAGCATTTCACCAGGTGCATCACTTCTGAATTGTAAGTGTATATACAAAGGCTTTTTATTCACTGTTAAGCATTGTTTATGCTCTCTTATATTGGCTATGTTTTTATTTATAAATTTCTCCGGCTACCTGTTTTCTTTCAGGGTCGTGTACAATGCCTTTGTTTCATCTTCGACCGCATCTAGAGAGCATATGGTCTTGATTCTATGATGCAGTGTCTTAATAAGGTTCCTTTTGTATTGCAGAAGAACAAAACTAAGAAAGTTTGTGTATTGGCCTGTCCAAGTAGTTTTCTTGTTTGTTTCTTCATAACGACCAGCCTTTTCTTCTTGTAAGCAAAACATCTAGAAAGGCTATTCCACCTCAATTTTCTTACTCACATGTGAATTTTATGGACGAATGAACTGTACTGAATCGCTCAAGTGTTTCTACCAAATCAATATGGTCGTTACAAAGGATAAACGTACCGTCCATATATCTGTAGTAAAGTGGAAATCCATCAATATGTTGTGCCATTCGACCGTTTTCTAATTTATAGAGAAAATTCTCAGCCAATATGAGACTTAGGGGTGAACCCATCGTGACACCATCTATTTTTCCATAGATTTCACCATTGAATTTGAAATGTACATTCATTGTACATTTTAGTAGTAATTCTTTGATCTCCACTGGGATTGTAGTTGCTATATCTTATTCTCCAAGTTGTTCACAAATATATTCTACAGTCTCTCTTAGTGGGACATGTGTGAACAATGACGTTACGTTAAAGGACATCATCGTTTAACCTTTCATGTTTATGTTTTTTTAATCTTGGAATTTATAAGGAACGGTATTGAATCATGTTATCCCAAACTGTTCTATAAGTCATTACGCCGAAATCACGTTCATCCAAATAGAAAAACATTAAAACGCTATGCACTTAATAAAATTGATACATTAAATAATGACTTGACGGATATAGAAGTAAATATTGCTCTCAGGAAATTCGCAGTTGATGAATTAACAGAAGACATTAAGTCCCAGTTTATGGATTACGTCACAGAGATAACTATGGAAAGATCAGACAAGAAACATATACTTCTCAAAATCCTAGAAAATCAAACGGTTGAAAACAAATTTCCAAAGGAACTAGAGGTATGTGCATAATTTTTCCGGTACTGAATTAAATAAAGAAAAACTTGAAGTATTAGCACTAGGTCTAAAATTATGTGATACACAAAACCTCGTAAATCATATAGATACGGACATCCAATCCGACAACCTAAATCGTCAGATATCAGATCTAGTCCCGACTTCTGATCAGGAACGTTTCAAATCAAACCTAGTTGACTGCTGCTATCAGTTTGGAAATAGTAGATATAACTACAGTATTTTAACTAAAAAAACACAAGGAGGCTATCAATGAACTCATTAATGACGATAATCTGATTATCACATAACCTGATAAAGGAACAGGAACTGTCCAACTTAACAAGAAAGACTACATTAACAAGATGAGTAACATCTTGAGATCTATAAATAAAAACAGCCAATAAAAGAGAGCATAAACAATGCTTAACAGTGAATAAAAAGCCTTTGTATATACACTTACAATTCAGAAGTGATGCACCTGGTGAAATGCTAAGACTGAAGGTACGCAGATCAACCCACAGAACTTTTAACGCAAGTAAAACTACAATTAATGTTTTCCACACGTCCAATGGTCACTCCGAGGTAGAGAGATAAATTGCCTAGACTAACCACTTACTTTCTGTATCTATCAATTCAACTGCTCCTGTGGAGCAAGTTATATTGGCAGATGTTCTAGCAATTTGTATATTCGGGCTCGTGAGCACCTATTGTGGTTAAGCAAAGGTGTCGTTAAAACGGTTAACAGTTCTGTTTAGCCCATTTAATCTTATTTTTCTTTATTGTCCAATAACTATTAGTCTCCAATTTTTTCGAAATTTCCGATAAGCAACACATCTTCATTACATATAACTATGA